TTTTTTTTTTTTTTTTTTTTTTGCAAAACAAAAAGCTCGACTATTTGTGGGCTTTGCCTTTTCGCATCAGTCTGCCTTTTGTTCAATAGAGTTTCTGCCTTGGTCGACAGGTAGCGTGTTACCCACCGGAGGAATGCCAATCAAATTTACAGCTTGGACACGTAAAGGCATGTAAGCATTGTGGTACGACCTATTCGGAAAAAATACGAGTAAAATAAATCACCAGTAATTAAAACAATGGGAAATTTGCTTTCTGGAAAGAGGTAATCAGTTTTTTTTTTCGCTGAAGATTCCGGCAATAAAGCCTACATTTACAAATTAATTAAGGCACGACCTAGGTATATATTAAAAACAACGTTTTCTAGTTTTCCAACAGTTTGTTAATTGTTGAATTGTGGTGAATGCGTCCCAAGGCTTACTTCGTCATATGAATTTAAATTTTTCGTGTGCTTGAAAAGTTATTTATCCCACGAAATGCGAACTTTCTGGCCGTATGTTAAAAAACTTATGCCAATCGTTACCACTGTTGTAAAGGTAAAAGGTTTCTGCAGCAACTTGAAAGGGACACGTGGAACCTGAAGTGTTAATGAGCCAATTCAAATGCATTTGAAAAATAAGGTGGCTCTTTAATATAAAACGATACTGTAAATCTCTATTTGATCTGTTCTAAATTTGTCTCACAAAGAAAGCTAGAAGTCTATTAATTAAAAAGATAACGAGCAAGCTAATGTTAGACTGGCAAGTCCAAATAGTTTTTTTTTATTATTTACTAAAGGTCTCGATGAGATTAATAGTTGTTCCTAAAACCACAAAAAAATTAAATGTTAGGCGTATAAAAATTGGGAAATTTGGAACGTTAGTAATAACAAAAGTTAACCGTAATTTTTTTCCTTTCAATCGCACGGAAAGAAATTAACCGTCAGCCGAAAAACGGCCAAATTTAAATCGCTAGCCTTGGAAACCATCACCCCATTGAGATTAGATTTTTATTGAGAAATAACTTATGTAGCATTAGTGTATCATTTCAGATAAACAAGTGCCACCTTTAATGTGCGTCCACTACACCTTTTGTCGACAGCTTCTCAGCTGAATCAATGTTTAGTTCTACTCAATACTGAGGACACTCCATTTCATAAAATTTAGTGCATGATTGTTTATAAAGGACTTACTTTAGTCTGCAAACAACCGTATTTTTAAAGCTCGAGTTATTTAGGGAGTCTGTTTTATTTGCAAGGCTGACATTTCTGTTGCACATGTGGTATAATTTGTTCGTTTTAGCGGGAAAGTTGTTTTCAAGCGGTTTTTATGCGGTCAGAATACCTTTACTGGTTTTTTAAGACCCAAATCTTTATTCTTTTTTTTTTTTCCTTTGGTGACGAAGACCACCCATGATCAATAGCTTGCCTGGTGGGTTAATTACCTATTAAAATGCATTTTCTAATTTCCTGCTGTTCTGATGACAAAAAGCATAAAAACTCATATCATCTTGACGTTTTTTTTCGTCATTTTTTGAAACCCGCAAAAACTAAAAATAGTCCTTACACGAGGTTGACATATTTCAACTTTGAACCAGTAATTCCCTTGCAAAAAGCTTCTGCGTCAGAAATAAAGCCATGATAGACAAAAGATACAATGAGGAGAGAATTTTAAGCGCTTTCGTCGAAAAGAGAAGTGATGCAATAAATCATGAATTTTTCTGGAGCAAGGGACAAAGAAGAAAGAAACTTATACTCCATTCACATCGTTAAACACGGTTTAAATTTGTTGTCCACAAAGAAATTACTGAACCGATGTTTGGCGTCAATGTCAAACGAATTTAGCACATTGAAAGAACAAGTCAGTGACCACTTGAATTCTATGGATGCTTCAGTTTTACTGTTCTCTGTTTCTGATGTTTATTCACTGAGTTAAATTGAAAGTTTAACTAAACATATTTTGCTGGTGTGACATTGTATGTCTCCCGTAAGAAATCGAAGTACTTTGCTATACAAGTAAAATGTACGGTCACCCGATATACTGCTGCAAGGAGACCACGAGTTGATGTAATCTTGCTGAAGTAGTAACCCAAGTAAGAATAAGTCACACTGTAAGTGAGCTGGCTCAACTCACCTGATAATTATAAAGACAAGAAAGGAACGTGCTCTCCTTAATGCCCCATAGAGTTTACGCGTATTTTGAGGGTTCGTGTTGGTTTTACCCCCGTGGGCTTTTTTCGCTTTTACTCTTTGCGTTATCAAGTCGCCGGTTCATCCTTACGAACAGGTCTTTAAATCGTCAGATTTGAAGTGCCGCGAACAAACTTTGGTATTATTTGAAACCTGGAAATTTTTTCCTTCATCTCTCCGAATAGCATAGATCCACAACTTTTTTAACCTTTCTTCGGTGGGAAATTTGAAGTAAGAAACCTTCTCTCCGGTTTCTTCGTCGCGATATCCTTTCCTTGTACATAGCGGCACGCAGCAATGCGTTGGCATCTTGAGGGCTGCTTAACACTGCCGGTCAAGTACTTGAAACTGCCTCTGGATTTTCCATTATTATTCAAGCCATATTCTGGATACACTCCTTTCATTTTTAACAACCAGGGAACAACAGTTTCCTATTTCGCGTACTTTAACAAATGTATTCCACACGCAATAGACGATACTCGACGAGGCGAGATTCCCTATCAGGTGTAATTTTGGTTAGCGAGTGCTCTGTGTATTCTTGAAGAATATTTAAGCCGCCATCTTTGATTTTTACAGCAGTGGAAGACAGAGGAGAGGGAGAAGTTTGTTTAAAGGGGGCGAGTGACAGTTTGCTCTGACTCTAAATCAAACAAATGGCCAGTCGAATAACGATAGAAAGCTTGCCACGTTAACTCGCCCAAATAAGACGCCTGCACTGTCTGCTAATGCTCAAGGGGATTTCTATTTACAATTTTTGCGCTGATTCACACTTTATGCTTATAGTAGCACATGGTGTACATAACAAGTTACTCAATTGTAGGCAATACTAAAATGACAGGTGAAAAACAACTGCACAACCGTACCTGCTTTTCTTTTCTTTTCTTTTCCTTTTTTCAAATTAACTGCGTTACAATAGGAGACAGGACAGCCTTGTTTTTTAAGATATAACCAAGATGGTCTAAAGAATGTACCATAAGCTTGAAAATGCGTCATTTTGAAGTCTTCTCTGGGTGGCAAAAGCTAACGAGTGACGACGAAAGTGATCAATACTGAACGAAAATTGAGGAGGGGGAGGGGTGGGTAAGAATTAAAGCCACATGACAGCTGAAATGGCACTCAAAAACGACACTCAATGACAAGTCTTTGAAAAACTGCCTCAAGAGGATTTAATTTTACTATCTATAGTTTAGCCTCTCTGAGAGTTTATGGGTTCAACGAAAATCCCAACCTTTTCGATTGACTGTTTTCTCATGATTCAAACCGTACTTTTAATTTCATGCTTGTGTTTTAAAGACAGCTGTGCGCGCACAGTCAACTTGTTTGTCCAGTTTTTTATCCCAGTAGAGATTAACTACTTTTACCGAAAGCAGCTATTCAGCTACGGCATCATTGGCTGTTTCTTGTCCCGCTTGAGTTCACGATTGTTCCGTGCGCCACCTCATGGAACCTTGCGGTCCTTTTGGCGGAGAGCGCAGAGGAGATACGAATTCTGGTGCCCTAAAAAGGTGTAAATGTTCGAAAAAGGCTAAGCTGCGAAGCACATTTAGTTATTTTCAATGTAATGTTTTTCATTACACTCAACGCTTTCAAAAAAGAGACTCAGAAAACATAGTTTGTCATATTAACTTAGGAAAGTTCGAGTACACAAAATTCGGCGCGGAATCTTTGAATTTCGCATCGCGTTTCATAACGTGCTTACCTGGATATTGCTTCGGAGTCATGCTCATCACGCGGTACAGTTTCTTCGTCCTCACTGGTTGATCCTTGTTGACATGCTAATCCGAGTATAAGAGCTGCCAGAGTTATGGCAAGGTCTGACGAACGGGACTGAGT